CCAAGGGCCATCAGGGGGTCCACCAGCAGGGCCAGAACTCCAGAAGCCCTCCCACTCTTGCCCCCCCCCAAGAATACAGAGCATCACTGCCCCACACATAAGAACGTCAGAGAAGCCATGTTGGATCAGGCCAATGGCCCATCCAGACCAACACTCTGTGTCACACAGTGGCCAAGACCCAGGGGCCATCAGGGGGTCCACCAGCAGGGCCAGAACTCCAGAAGCCCTCCCACCGTTGCCCCCCCCCAAGAATACAGAGCATCACTGCCCCACACGTAAGAACGTAAGAGAAGCCATGTTGGATCAGCCCAATAGCCCATCCAGTCCAACACTCTGTATTGCACACTGGCCAAAACCGAAGAGCCACCAGGAGGGCCACCATTGGGGCCAGAACTCCAGAAGTCCTCCCACCACTGCCCCCTCAGCATGCATCGAGACGAGGAGAGGGAGATAAAAGCACCAATTCCACCTCCTGGGGACACTCACTGCTTGAAGGTGCGCCCGATGCCCTCGCCTGCCTTCCAGCCCATGCCTTTCAACATGGCAATACCGTAGGCGTCAACTGGCACCTCTTCGTAATCAGCCTCCGTCGACTACCAAAGAGAGGATAGAATAAAAGGGGGGGGGGAGGACAGGTGTTAAACTCTCCTGGCCAGGAGGTGGGAGCGACAATTCTCCCCGGAGCCCTGTTCCGCTTACCGATTCTGGACGGAGGCTGACGTCCATTTTCTCCCCGTCCTCGTAGCCGTCGGGGACACGATTCTGCATGAGGAGGGGGATGGCAAACGCGGGGTCGATCTTGCTGCTGCTCTCCCATTGCTCCTGCGTCTTCTTGGATTCTGAGTATGACGAGAACAAAGGTGTCCAAAGCGTGAGGCCACAGAGTTAAGCCGTCTTTGCTAAGTCGGAAGAAAGGCAAGGCATCGAGGATTACCAGCTTAGAAGATTCCCCGCTACCTGGCTGGGGACTTTTGCCCAGGATGATCTGGATTCTCTGCTCTTTTCCAAGGCAAAAGTTCCAGCAGAGTCATCTTGAGGGCAACCACATGGTCACAGATTTTGTATAGAAGAAGAAGAAGAGATTGGATTTATACCCCGCCCTTCAGAGCGGCTTACAAACTCCTTTCCCCTCCCCTCCCCACAACAGACACCCTGTGAGGGAGGCGGGGCTGAGAGAGCTCTGACAGAAACTGCCCCTTTTCAAGAACAGCTCTTATCAGAACTATGGCTTGCCCAAGGTCATCCAGCAGGTGCAAGTGGAGGAGTGGGGAATCAGACCCGCTTGTCCCAGATTAGAGTCCGCACACTTAACCACTACACCAAACTGGGTTTAGGGATAAGCCGCCCCAAACCTCCTTCTGTGGGTGCTGAAAACAGACACTCCAGCAGTCAGTCAGTCAGTCAGGACACACACTCCTCTTTATTTCACGAGAGTGAAAGCTCTACCTTTACAAGGCCTCGGCTTTCCACTCTCTAGGTTCGTTCCGGGGTGCACCTATGTTCGACTCAGTGTTCCTCGTCACAGCTTGAAATATAAATAAAATGTATTAACTTGAGAGGAGTGTCGCAAAGCATAGATCACTCAGTCACAGGCAAAAAGACATCAAACAAATCAACCTCACTATTGCTATCTAAAATCTGCCTGTCTGACCCTGCCCTGGATAGCCCAGGCAAGCCCGATCTCGTCAGATCTCGGACGCTAAACGGGGCCGACCCTGGTGGCAAGTATTTGGATGGAAGACCTCCAGAGAATACCAGGTCTGGGAGGCAGAGGCAGGCTATCAAGCCAACTCTCTGAACGTCCTTCGTACCCCACTAGGAGTTGCCAGAGGATGCCATGACTTCCAGGCACAGACACACACACACACAAACAAAAATCCCCCCCAAAATTAAATAAAATCTGTCTATCTGAAAACTTTAGACCTTACTATCTTCAAGCATCCCTGAATGGCATTCTTTAGTCATCCATCTTACCCATCCGGCAGAATACAGGCCCTCTTCATGCTTAGCTGGTAAAGCATGGAGACATGCCGACGTGAAAAAGGGTGAAGAGTAGCTGCCCCCATGCACATTAGAGTGCCAGCTTGGTGTAATGTTTAGGAGCAATGGACTCTAATCTGGGAGAGCCGGGTTTGATTCCCCACTGCTCCACATGCAGCTGCTGGTGTGGCCTTGGGTCAGCCTCAAGTTCTGTCAGAGCTGTTCTTGAAAAAGAGCAGTTTCTTTCAGAGCTCTCTCAGCCCCACCTACCTCACAGGGTGTCTGTTGTGGGGAGGGGAAGGGGAAGGAGTTTGTAAACTGCTCTGAGACACCTTTTGGGTAGTGAAGGGCGGGGTATAAATCCATTCTCTTCTTAACAGACCATCTTTTCTAGCAATCAGTGCATTACCCAGCAACTCAACAGCCAATTGGGGCCAACCAGTTAATTAGCATCTGCTGTAAGAAAAAAAACTACGGAGGAGGGATAGAAACTGGAAGACAGTCTCTCAAGGGTGAAACCCCAAGAACAAAAACTGCTCTGCAGGTGTTAGTAATCGGCACAGGGAGCACTTCGAAACAGGCCAGAACCCCAACAACAGTTAAGAGTTGTGAAGGAAGGTTCAGTCACCTCATTATTAGCCCTAACTTACCAAGTTCCCGACACTTTGTTTGTCCTGCTGCCTTCCCCTCTGAGTTTTTTCTTTTTGGCCTGAGCCCGACAAACGTTTGGGCTCCAAGGAAGAGGGTGCACAGACCGATCTCTGTGCTTGGCTTCTCTCCTAACAGGAAACCCCTGACATCTTTCCAAGAGAAGGGATGGCCAGAAACCATAATTATGTTTAGACTCTGTGACGACCCCTTATCTGGGGAGTCGGAAGAAAGGCAAGGCATCGAGGATTACTAGCTTAGAAGATTCCCCGCTATCTGGCTGGGGACTTTTGCCCAGGATGATATGGATTCTCAGTTCTTTTCCAGGGCAAAAATTCCAGCAGAGTCATCTTGAGGGCAACCACATGTTCACAGATTTTGTATAGAAGAAGAAGAAGAGATTGGATTTATACCCCGCCCTTCAGAGCGGCTTACAAACTCCTTTCCCTTCCCCTCCCCACAACAGACACCCTGTGAGGCAGGCGGGGCTGAGAGAGCTCTGACAGAAACTGCTCTTTTTCAAGAACAGCTCTTATCAGAACTATGGCTTGCCCAAGGTCATCCAGCAGGTGCAAGTGGAGGAGTGGGGAATCAGACCCACTTGTTCCAGATTAGAGTCCGCACACTTAACCACTACACCAAACTGGGTTTAGGGATAAGCCGCCCCAAACCTCCTTCTGTGGGTGCTGAAAACAGACACTCCAGCAGTCAGTCAGTCAGTCAGGACACACACTCCTCTTTATTTCACGAGAGTGAAAGCTCTACCTTTACAAGGCCTCGGCTTTCCACTCTCTAGGTTCGTTCCGGGGTGCACCTATGTTCGACTCAGTGTTCCTCGTCACAGCTTGAAATATAAATAAAATGTATGAACTTGAGAGGAGTGTCGCAAAGCATAGATCACTCAGTCACAGGCAAAAAGACATCAAACAAATCAACCTCACCATTGCTATCTAAAATCTGCCTGGCTGACCCTGCCCTGGATAGCCCAGGCAAGCCCGATCTTGTCAGATCTCGGACGCTAAACGGGGCCGACCCTGGTGGCAAGTATTTGGATGGAAGACCTCCAGAGAATACCAGGTCTGGGAGGCAGAGGCAGGCTATCAAGCCAACTCTCTGAACGTCCTTCGTACCCCACTAGGAGTTGCCAGAGGATGCCATGACTTCCAGGCACAGACACACACACACACAAACAAAAATCCCCCCCAAAATTAAATAAAATCTGTCTATCTGAAAACTTTAGACCTTACTATCTTCAAGCATCCCTGAATGGCATTCTTTAGTCATCCATCTTACCCATCCGGCAGAATACAGGCCCTCTTCATGCTTAGCTGGTAAAGCATGGAGACATGCCGAAGTGAAAAAGGGTGAAGAGTAGCCGCCCCCATGCACATTAGAGAGCCAGTTTGGTGTAATGGTTAGGAGCGACGGACTCTAATCTGGGAGAGCAGGGTTTGATTCCCCACTGCTCTACATGCAGCTGCTCGTGTGACCCTGGGTCAGTCTCAAGTTCTGTCAGAGCTGTTCTTGAAAAAGAGCAGTTTCTTTCAGAGCTCTCTCAGCCCCACCTACCTCACAGGGTGTATGTTGTGGGGAAGGGGAAGGAGTTTGTAAACTGCTCTGAGACACCTTTGGGTAGTGAAGGACAGGGTATAAATCCATTCTCTTCTTAACAGATCATCTTTTCTAGCAATCAGTGCATTACCCAGCAACTCAACAGCCAATTGGGGCCAACCAGTTAATTAGCATCTGCTGTAAGAAAAAAAACTACGGAGGAGGGATAGAAACTGGAAGACAGTCTCTCAAGGGTGAAACCCCAAGAACAAAAACTGCTCTGCAGGTGTCAGTAATCGGCAGAGGGAGCACTTCGAAACAGGCCAGAACCCCAACAACAGTTAAGAGTTGTGAAGGAAGGTTCAGTCACCTCATTATTAGCCTAACTTACCAAGTTCCCGACACTTTGTTTGTCCTGCCACCTTCGCCTCCGATTTTTTTTCTTTTTGGCCTGAGCCCGACAAAAGTTTGGACTCCAAGGAAGAGGGTGCACAGACCGATCTCCGTGCCTGGCTTCTCCCCTAACAGGAAACCCCTGACATCTTTCCCCAGGCCAAGAGAAGGGACGGCCAGAAACCAGAATTATGTTTAGACTCCTTATGCAAATGGAAACCAACAACGATAATGGAGTCCGGGCGTTAGGTCTGGTTATATGGATTCTCAGCTTTCGTTCTCTAATCCTTTCGGTTAAAGGAAGACAGAGAAGGCCATGTGCGGCCTAACGTGGAGATCGACCGGTCCTGGCTTCCTTTTCTCTCAATCCATGACACGGCCTTGAGCCGGCGACACCTAGGGCTTGGCTTTTTTTTTTTTCCTTTTGGTGCTTCAACACGACTAATAGCAACTATGCCACCAATGTGATCACCTCAGAGCAGCTAAGATTCGCCCTAGGTGAGTATTTCATTACAAGGCTGAACTAAGGCTTAGAACATCAGAGGAGCCCTGCTGGATCAGACCAGGGGTCCATCTAGCCCAGCCTCCCGTCTCACACAGGGGCCAACCAGTTCCTCTGGAGGGCCAGCAACATGGCAGAGAGGCCGAGGCCTTCCCCTAATAAGAACATCAGAAGAGCCCTGCTGGGTCAGACCAGTGGTTTATCTAGTCCAGCATCCTGTCTCATACAGCGGCCAACCAGTTCCTCTGGAGGGCCAACAACAGGGCACAGTGGCTGAGGTCTTCCCCTGATGTTACCTCTTGGCTCTGGGATCCAGAGCAGTAGTGCCTCTGAATGTGGAAGTTCCCCTCAGTCACCATGGATAGTAGCCACTGATCGATTTATCCTCCGCGGATCTATCCAATCACCTTTTAATGCTGTTTATTCCTTAGCCAACCCTACATCCTCTGGCAGAGAATTCCACATTTTAATCACTCTCTGTGTAAAGTAGTATTTCCTTGCATTTTTATGCTTCGCAGAGACCACCCCCACAAACCAAGAAACTCCATTAAGCAGAGCTCCAACCCCCGGCAAGCCTTCTCCGCTCCCAGCATGCTTGTGAAGGAAAAGGAGAGTGAAGTGAAGCAGAGATGGGTGGGTTAATAAAGACACCCAAGGGAAATAGCTCACTGGAGCGCCTGCAGAGGTGGTGACCACTGGATCAGTTCCGAGGTCAGAGGAAATGAGACTTATAGAATCATAAAGTTGGAACAGGCCATACAGACCATCTAGTCCAGGGGTGTCAAACATACGGCCCAGGGGCCAGATCAGGCCCCCGGAGGGCTTCTATCAGGCCTGCAGTGGAACTGGCTGTCTTCTGCTTCTTCTTCCAGTTCTGCTGCTGCGTCATCGTAGGTTTGCAGCTTACAGAAACACACCTGAACAGCATACTCGCGATTGCAACAGCACAGACACTGTGGTGCAATAATTCAGAGCAAGAGGTGTCAGTTATCAGATACAGTTAAATATACAAAATATTGCAAGAGCGCTAATGTTTTAAGTGAGTTTTTATTTTAAGTAAAAAAAAAACCTTCATAAAGTTTATATCTCTGCTACCTGGCATTACATTTTATGACGCACAGGGCCCAGGGGCCCAACAAGGTCTCATTGATGTCAGATCCGGCCCTGGTAACAAATGAGTTCGACACCCCCCAGATCTAGCCCAACCCCCTGCCCAATGCAGGACCAGCCTGAAGCATCCCTGACAAATATCCCCCTTTGAACCCCTCGTGCCGTGAAAAATTTTTTGCTCATATCCAGCCGATACCTTTCTGCATGTCATTTAAACCCATTGCTTTGGGTCCTCTCCTCTGCTGCCTGCCAACTGGAACCGCTCCTTGCCCTCCTCCACATGACATCCTTTCAAATATTCAAAGAGAGCAATCCTGGCCCCCCTGAGTCTCCTCTTCTCCACACTAAACATTCCCAGGGCCCTCAGCCTTTCCTCATAGGGCTCAGTCTCCAGACCCCTGGTCATCATTTGCCACCAGCTCCCGCATAAGTCCCTGTACCTGTGCATTCTATGTCGGGAGGGGCTGTGGCTCAGTGGTAGAGCATCTGCTTGGCATGCAGAAGGTCCCAGGTTCAATCCCTCGGCATCTCCACTTAAAAGGGTTCAGATGGTAGGGGTCAGGGGTCATTTCCTGCAGGAGCGCACAGGAGCAGAGCTCCGGCAGTAAAGAGCCCAGGGGGCGGCCACACGCAACAAGCCCCACCCCCTGCTCCCAGCAGCCCTCAGTCAGAGCAAGAAGCAGCCAGGTAAGTTGCAGAGCCCCCCTGGCCCTGCGGTCCAAAACAGTCCAGTGGCACCGTTAAGACCAAGTTTTATTCAGGTACAAGCTCTCCCTCCTCTGCACGTTCCCCCCCCCCACTAGCTAGCAATCCAAAACAGTCCAGTGGAGCCTGAGCGGTGGGTGTTGCCTTCTGACACACTTCTGGTGATGCCAGGGGGTGTGGCACATGCAAATAAATTATGCTAATGAGTTATGCTAATGAGCTCCTGCACCTCTTTTTCTATGAAATGACCCCTGGTAGGGGTGATGTGAAAGTTCTCTGCCTGAGACCCTGGAGAGCCGCTGCCAGTCTGAGAATAGGACCTTGATGGAACAAGGGTCTGGTTCGGTAGAAGGCAGCTTCATACGCTCACATTGTCTTTAATTTTTGACCTATAGTGTTCCAATAGAAGTAATGTCTTCACAAGGCTTTGGGCTTGTTGAAATGTAACATCGAAAGCGCACCCTAGGTCAATCCGAACGTGCAAAATCAGATCCCGCTCTATTCAGAACATCAGGGGAACTTTCCTAGTTCAGCTTTCCCCAGAAAGTCTGCAACTTGCAGGCTGGATTTTAGAAGCCTCTCTTACCCAACTACTTACCCAACTCTTACCCAACTACTCTCTTACCCAATCAACAAAGGGAAGCTTCCTGTCATAAACCCCCTGAGTGGAAGCGGCTATACATCTAAAGAATAAGAGAGGTGGGCCATGCTCACCCTCAATGAGCTCTCTGACGGCCTGGGCTTCGACCCCATTACTCCCGTCCGGGTCTGGGAGCGGTGCCGGATCCGCCACTTTCTTCCATTGGTTCTTCTGAATCAGGGGGATCACGAGCTCTTTGGGCTGCGGGGCTGGCCGGACACTGCAAAGGGAGAGAAGGCACCCCTCGTGTTAAGAAGAAGAAGCAGCAGCAATTGGATTTATACCCCACCCTTCACTCGGAGGCATGCTGTGAATTAATTAACTGTTTATAACCTCGGCTTTATGGATTTGCAATGTTTTAGACTGTATTTTATTTTGTACAGTTTTCTATGTTTTATTGCATTCTTCTCTGTTTGTGGTGGCCTATGGCTAAGTACAGTGAAAACCTTCTCTCTCCCGGAGTCTCAGAGCAGCTTACAGTCTCCTTCCCCTCCCCCCAGCAGACACCCTGTGAGGTAGGTGGGGCTGAGAGAGCGCTTTCGGGAACTGCCCTTGAGAGAACAGCTCTGACAGAACTTGTGACTGACCCAAGGTCACACCAGCAGCTGCAGGTGGAGGCGTGGGGAATCAAACCCGGTTCTCCAAGATTAGAGTCCGCGCACTTAACCACTACACCAAACTGGCTCCCAGTTTTCAAATTCTGCTGGTGTGGCTCATCTACCGACACAAAACATAAGCTATGTCCCCTCATGTAACTGTTCTGTCATTACATGGTGAGTATGCAAAAGTATATAACACTGTGTATAATAGATGTATGTTTAAGGTGGATCAATTCTGTGCTTTTTATTTGTCTTTTTTATTTTTCTATACTGTCGTGTAAATATTGGTGTCAAATATTATCAAACATAGGTTTCCCCCAAACAATATGTGACGAAATGGCTGCCAGGCAGAGGCAGCAGTACCTAAAACGGATGCCATCCTGGTAGTCCTTACAAGGGGGGAGGTGCTCCATAGGGAAGAATGGAGCTGCCGTACCTCCCTGCCTACACTTCCCAGCAGCCTTGAGGGAAAAGAGCAGGAAAAGTTTGACACACCCCAGGGGCGGGGCCAAGTAGATAAAGGTTTTGGCTGGGGGGTGCGGGGGAGTCAGTCTGCGCCTAGTCTTAGCCTGGTCTTCAGCGTGGATGGCAGTTCCCGGCAGGTGTACAGGTGGGGGCTCCTGTGACCTCAGGCTCCGTGGTCAGTCCAGGCCACTATCAACTGTGGTGAACAGCCAGGAGAGGGTAACGGTACTGGTAACCAGTCCAGGGAAGGGCTGCGGTTTCCCTCCAACAACGAGGAGGGGGAAAGCAAATCCTGGCCTGAGGCCACCACCCACTACAAAGGTAGAGAGGGGTGTGTGTAGGGGCAGACGAACTGTGTTTCGATCCGGTTTAATTTCTGTGCCCAGGTTATGCTGAAGTGCCTGTGCATTGCGGTGAGGGCGGGGTATAAATCGAATAAAATAAATAATAAATAATAATAATAATTTATTTTCATGCCTAACCTGTATATAGTTAAATAAATCTTCCTTTTTTAGTTTAAAAAGCCTGGTGTGCCTTAACCACATAGCCCTCCCTGCTCTGCACGTTACCAGGGGCAAAAGAGAGGCCAGGGAACACAAATGGGCCCAAATCGGAGGGGTTGCCAACTCCCCAGGGGGCGCCCAAAGTTCAAGGTACCCACTTCCCAAGGTGGGGAAAGTTCAAGGTACCCACTTCCCAAGGTGGGGAAATCAGCCAGAGGGGTCTCACTGTCCCTCTAGGAAGGCGGTGTCAATTCAGTGAGCGGTGGCAGCGTTTAACGGAGAGAAATAGCCCCACCAGATAGGGTGGGAGGCCAAAACAGGGGCTTGCGAGCCACAGGACGGCACCTCAGTCTCCCAGGGCTGAGGGCGGGTCCCCATTTCGCCACACAATACATCAAAGTGCAGGTCTACACTCTGTTCAAACAGCACCTTGTCAGTTTCACAATCACTATTCCCAGGGGGACTCTAATAATTTACTCGTTTTGAATACACTCTTTTTCAGGGCTTTTTTTGTAGAAAAAGCCCAGCAGGAACTCATTAGCATAATAGGCCATGCCCAACAGCAGGAACTCATTAGCATATTAGGCCACACCCATGACAGCACAGCTTATTAGCATATTAGGCCACACCCCCGTGTTACCAGAAGTGTGGTCATCCAACCACACCCACCTTTTGCTTCTTATTCTGTTGACCTTGTTTGTTGTCAAAACCCAGGGCTTTTTTTGGAGCAGGAACTCCTTTGCATGTTAGGCCACACACCCCTAATGTAGCCAATCCTAATGAGTTCCTGCTGTTGGGTGTGGCCTATTATGATAATGAGTTCCTGCTGGGTGTGGCCAACTTGGGAGCCAGCCGGAACTCCGTTCCTGTGCGTTCCTGCCCAAAAATAGCCCTTCTCTTCTTCAAGGACCGTCCTTGAAAACAGCACAGAATTGATCTACCTTAAACATACATCTATTATACACAGTGTTATATACTTTTGGATACCTTCCTAACACTGTGACCCTCAGTTTTTGTATTACCACACGGAGGGGTGGCAGAAAGAAAGAAAAGAGGAATTCAAAGAAAACCCCCACTGTCAAAAGTCCCAGTCCCAACCCCGAATAAGGACTTTTGGTGCAAGGGGAGTACATTACGAAACAAAGTGACAAAGTACCAGAGAGTGTCTAAAACTCACCCTAGTCTTGGTAGGTTGCCACCAGGTCTTTCGATCTATCCCGACAGCCCAGGAGAGAAAGACCAAACCTCCCGGCTTCTCAGGGAACTTAACAAGAAAAGTCAGCCCTGCAGAGCGGAACTGCAGTCTGAGTTTCCAAGACAAAACAGTTAGCTGGTAGGCGGTCAAGAGCCAAGGCTCTGGATCAAGGCTTTGAGGTTTATTGAAGGCAAAAGCCACGATAGAGTAAACACATATAAGTATTTATTTAAGGTGCAAAATTATTTAAGGCAATGTAGTATGAATGGGAATATAATTTTTTTTTTAAATAGGTTGTTCCTTCTTGATTGTTCATATTCATATTTTTCCTTGGTTTTATGGATTTCTCTTTTAAGTAATATTTTATTAGGATGTTATAAAGGCGTGTTATATAGAAGACTTTCCTCTTGTAGGTCTGATATTGTTAGCAGACAACATAATAGGTATAAAGTTCATGATTCTGTAGTTCATAAGGGCAAAACCTTGCAATGTCTGGGTGAGATAAGATTTTGGTCTCGTATCAGGAAAAAAATACTTTTGTTTGGGATATGAAGAATCCTTGCACATTATCATTTAGGTTAGGTTAAGCAACGGCTCACTCAGCGCACTTATCCACTACACCAAGAAGTGAAACCATGCCCCGTCTCTGCCCCCACGCAGGTGTCTAGAGCTCAATTGCTTGGAATGTGCTAATTGGGAGCTTCAAAGGCAGTTGGTACTACCCTCAGCTGAAAACAATTCAGCTCTGGCAAGGTCACTGTGCTATGTCTAACCGTCTCTGGGAAAGCTCTTGCAGGCCTTCGCACAGCCTGAACCAAAGATTTTACTTTACAGAACAGAGCAAGGAACCAGTTTTCTTTACGCCCATGCACAAAGTATGCTGCTGGGTCCTGGCCCCAAAACTTCTAACGTACAGTCCCTGTACATTCAGCGGTATCACAAACACACAGTGTTTTTTAAACACTTGCAAATGTTTTCTGCCCTGACCTGGATGGGCCCAGATAGACTGATCTTGTCAGATCTCAGAAGGTCAGCTGGGTGGGGCCTGGTTAGGTCTTGGGAGGGAGACCAGCAAGGAAGTCCCGGGTTGCTACGCAGAGGGGGGTGACGGCAAACCGCCTCTGAACATCTCTTGCCTTGACCTGGCTGGCCCAAGCTAGCCCGGTCTTTTCAGATCTCAGAAGCCAAGCAAGACTGGCCTTGCTTATCATGACAACAGGTAAGAACATAAGAGATGCCAATGTTGGATCAGGCCAAAGGCCCATCCATTCCAACACTCTGTATCACAAAGTGGCCAGAAATACCAGTGCCATCAGGAGGTCCACCAGTGGCTAATAGCCACTGATGGACCTCTGCTCCATATGCTTATCTAATTCCCTTTTGAAGCCGTCCATGCTTGTAGCTGCCACCACTTCCTGTGGCAGTGAATTCCAAGTGTTAATCACTCTTTGGGTGAAGAAGTACTTCCTTTTATCCGTTCTAACCCGACCGCTCAGCAATTTCATGGAGTGCCCACGAGTTCTTGTATTGTGAGAAAGGGAGAAAAGTACCTCTTTCTCTACCCGCTCTTTCCCATGCATAATCTTATAAACCTCAATCATGTCACACTGGTTAAGAGTGTCAGACTAGTATCTGGAAAACCAGGTTCGAACCCTCACTCATGCCATGGAAGCTCACTGGGTGACCTTGGGCCAATCACACGCTCTCAACCTAACCTCCACCGCACAGGATTGTTGTGAGGATAAAATGTAGGCGAGGAGAATGATGCAAGCCACTTTGGGTCCCCAATGGGGAGAAAGGTGGAGTATAAATAAACCAGCTAAATAAATAAATTAAAATTAATTACTTAATTAAATAAGTTTTTCTTGGCGCGAACACATAACTGGCATCTTTAATTTACCCAATGTAGCCGGATCAATACGCTGCCACTTTTAGCGCATGCGCATTACCCCCTCCATACCTTTGTAATTCTCGCCCCTCAACGGCACGAAGGAAATCGGTCTCCAGTTTCTCTTCTCCCCCATCTTGTCCCGTCACGGCGAGAAGCCTCCTCCTCCCGGTTGTCCGCGTGAAGCTAAACGACACCGGGGCAGCCGAAGCTCCCACGGCCTTCTTCTCAACACTCTCTGTTTCGGCTGCCGCAGTTTCCGCCATCTTTTTTTCGTGTCTTTTACATCCGTGTTCCACCCCCAACTTCCGTCTGTGCCATTCAGGGGAATTCTAGGAAATGGAGTGCTGAAGCCCTGCTCTCCAGATTGGGTTTTATACACCGGTGAAAGCAAAACAACTACAATTCCCAGAGAGCATCGCGGAACAAGCCTCGCGTTCTCCCAGCAAAACAGAAAGTACTATAGCTTCCAGGCGACATCGCTATTCGGCGCAAGCGCAGTACCTTACGGACACACCAAACTTTTTAAAGGGTTCCCGTTGACTCCATCGATTCGCTGCAACGAACTGCTCAGGCCTAAGATTTTTTTGCGCATGCGCTATGAAAACCCTAGTCGGATGTGCTGCTGTGTGGCCTCTGCGGAAAATCGAAAACCTCTTCAATTCCGCGAGTCACACCCGTTTTAGAAGAGCCTTGTTGTCACGGGAACGCGCTCGGAACCGATTACATCACGGCCTATATTAATCAATTCCGTGAAGAAGCGAAGAGTAGTGCGCGTGCGCTCTGGCATAGCCAGGGACGTCGCGCATGCGCCCTCACGTGCTTCTTTGAGACGGAATGGCAATTCCCTGACTGTTTCTCTGGATGCTCATTTTGCTAATACAGGTACGGTCTGCACGAGTTCCTTTTATAGGGGGCAGCCTTCAGTTGCACGACAGGCAGAAGCAATATTAAATGAAGCTTTGTTCCATCCCTGCATACCGGGAAAAGCGTCACCTGTTGGTTCTGTGCCTGCTTTGCCGCTGTTGCAAGAGATTCTGCACAGAGCAAGGTACGCCTACATCCACCATCCCTGAATGGGCTGGTCAGCGGTTTATCTCAAGCTTAATTCTCACAAGCAGTGTTCCCTCTAAGCTGAGTTAGTGTGAGCTAGCTCATAGTTTTTTAGCGTCCGGCTCACATATTTTTGTCTTGGCTCAGGAAGGAGGGCTCCAGAGCAAAGTAATTTATGCGGGGGCCAAATCTCTTGCTCACAACTTTAATTCCAGTAGCTCACAAAGTAGAATTTTTGCTCATGAGACTCCACAGCTTAGAGGGAACATTGCTCACAAGCAGTGGTTGGGGTGACAAACCAGTCCCTGGAATGTACCACAGCAGCCTGGTGGGGGGAGTTGTCAGATGACCCCTTGACCTTTACGAAATGGCTTGGCAACCCTACACTGGGCTCAGGCTTTGTTCTGTTACTTCAGACCAACAGGGCTACCCATAGGGCTGCCAGGTCCCCTGGGGGGGGGGATTCCCCCGCTCAAAGGGCCCCCAATCCGCCAGTCCGGATCTGGCCGGTGGGGGGAACCCCACCGCTGAAGTGGCCAGATGGGGCCAACGTGCCTGGCGTGATGACGTTGCCCGGAAGTGATGTCATAACGCTGGGCACATCGCCGGGCGATGCTCTAGCAATCACCCTGAAAACTCTGTGGTACCATAGAGTTTTCATGGTGATTGCTAGAGCGTCGCCAGGCGACGTGCCCAGCGTGATGACGTCACTTCCGGGCAACGTCATCGCGGCGCGCGCACACGAATGTCCCAGACAGGGTCCACCGCTCCCCCGCTAAAGCCAGTAAGTCACTTGGCAACCCTAGCTACCCACCTAAACTGGATGTGTTACCATTTCTTTCGTCTTTCTAGACCATGGTATTTTTTAAAGTCACCCAGAGAGGCTCTGTTTTGTGATCTGTCTATTCTATGAGTCCTTTGAGCAGGGCTTTTTTCTGTGGTGATGCTCCATCTATGATATAATCTCTCCAGAGTTTTCTGTGCCACACCAGGACATTTCTGCTCCCCGAGGCTTTTGGAATGCTTTCAGTAGATAAGAACCATCAGAAGAGCCCTGCTGGATCAGACCACTCAGTGGCCAACCAGTTTGGTGTAGTGGTTAAGAGCAGCAGACTCTAATCTGGAGAACCGGGTTTGATTCCTCACTTGACTTGCAGCCACCTGGGTGACCTTGGGTCAGTAACAAGTTCTCAAAGCTGTTCTCTCAAGAGCAGAGCTCTCTCAGCCCCACCTGTCTGTTGTGGGGAGAGGAAGGGAAGGAGATTCTAAGCCGCTCTGAGTGAGCATGGGGCATATATCCAACTCTTCTTCTCCTCCTCCAGAGGGCCAACAACAGGCATAGAGGCCGAGGCCTTCATCAGAAAAGCCCTGCTGAAGCAGACCACTGGTCCCTCTAGTCCAGCATCCTGCCTCACACAGTGGCCAATCAGTTCCTCTGGAGGGCCGACAACAGGGCAGAGAGGTCAAGGTCTTCCCCTGATAAGAACATCAGAAGAGCCCTGCTGGGTCAGACCAGGGAGGGTCCATCTAGTCCAGCATCCCGCCTCACACAGGGGCCAGCCAGTTCCTCTGGAGGGCCAACAATAGGGCATAGAGGTCAAGGTCTTCCCCTGATGTTGCCTCCTGGCTCTGGGGATTCAGACGCTTAGCGCCTCTGAATGTGGAGGTTACCCTCAGCCACTGTGGCTAGTAGCCATTGATAGACTTATCCTCCATTGTAGTTTGCCGGGGTTCAAAGAAGACAGGACGCAAACACTCTGCAGGAACTGACTGAACCCTCTCAGCTTCCCAGCGTTTATTTATAAGCTTCTAGTCCCCCCCCCTCCCTCACATAAGGGAAAGTTACAAGCATTCAAGCATCCTTTTGGAATGTGTTTTCTAACAGCCACTCTCTCTTATCTGCCAAAGCCAAATGACTGCGTCATTAAGCAGTACCTCATGCTCTCAGCACATGAATACTTTTGGGTTATTGCTGGCTAAGCGCCGTAACAATAAAATTCAATTCATTCATTCATTCATTCATTCATTCATTCATACTTTTGGGTTCCCAATCTCCAGCCAGGAGAACAGTGATCTCCCTGCAGGAACAATGTTAACACTCCCGGGCCTGCCTCTCAAGAGCGGACATTGTTCCTACACTCCATGAGTCTATCTAATCCCCTTTTAAAACTCTTCCTGTGGCAATCACTACATCCTCTGGCAGCGAATCCCACATTTTAATCCCTCTCTGTGTAAAGTAGTGCTGTGTTCTCTGTTGCCTTTCAGGGGAGATCTGCTCTGAGATGAGCAAGCCCATTCTGTTAGGCTGGTCTGCGCTGTCTTTTGACTTTTATGCATTGTAACAAGCCAGCGCTGCTCTTTAGATTCAGGCACAGTGGGAAACCTGGTAATAGATCTGTCTCCTCCTCTCTTCCAGCAGCACCTGCTGTGTTAAGGAAGGATGGGGCGTTCCTCCAAAGATAAGCGTGACATCTACTACCGCCTGGCCAAGGAAGAAGGGTGGCGAGCCCGCAGTGCGTTCAAACTCCTGCAACTGGATGAGGAGTACCACCTGTTTCAAGGTAGGGCAGGAATTTTGCCTTCTGATGACCTTATAGATCAGACACAAATGCTTTCACACACCCCGAATAATGCACTTTCAAACCACATTCAGTGCACATTAGTTCTGGTTTGCAAATGGATTTTGCTGTTTCGCACAGGGCTTTTCTCCATCCTCATTTTCATCGCTTGTGCGCGCCTATTGCTTCGGAGAGTTTTTTCTTTTGCACACGTGTTTTGCTCCCTCTAGTGGACGATTGGATATTACATTGGTTGGTGTCCGACATACCTCCTTGCATATTTAAACAGAAGGGTTTTATGCCGGGCATACATTGATAGAATATAAAATCAGCTACTAGAGGGGGCAAAACATGAGCGGAAAAGGGGGGGGAACCAATGTAACTGGGACGGACAAGCAAGGAAAATAAGAATGCAGAGGAGCTGACAGTAAAATTCAGTTGCATTATTCAAGCGCATTATTCAGTGTGCCTGAAAATATCCAATGGCTGAGCCCCCAAGCCTATTTTTACTGTGAAGGCTGAGTCCCAGCTCCCTGTGAAGTGAGTGTTTTCATATTTTATTTTGGAATCTCCTGTAAATGTCTTCCAAACATCTTATTTTGTTGCTGCTTCTGCTGCTGCTGTTTCTTCTTCTGGATCCCGTACGCAATTGGCAGCCAGTGCAGCTGGCGGAGCAGCGGCTGAATGCACGCCCGCTCAGACGTTTATTTATTTATATCCCACTTCCCTCCCCAGTTGGGCCTCAGAGTGGCTTAGGACACTGTTCCCTCCTCCTCCATTCTCTCACAACAGCCCTGTGGGGGTAGGCCAGGGCACGAGTTTTGTGACAGGCCCAAGGTCACCCAGCGAGATCCCATGGCGGAAAGCGGGATTTGAAACTGGGTCACCGAGGATCCTAGTTCGCCACTCTATACTCTGCCCCCCCCCACTGGTTCTCTAGGGGACCCTGGAGCTCTTGCTTGAGCGCTCTCGTAATGGAACCTTTCTCTTGTTTGGACCAGGCGTCTCCCGAGCCGTGGATCTGTGCGCCGCTCCTGGAAGCTGGAGCCAGGTTTTGAGCCGGAAACTCAAGTAAGCCGACCTCAGGACTCCGGGAAATATGGGGTGGCATGCTCGATTCGGCAGCGCATAGACTAAAATCAGCATGCTGCAGAGGAGAGGATGCGGGGTGACTTAGGAGTCCCTTGGGGGACGAAAGAGCGGGTTCCCTCAAACATTTCCCTGTCCCGCTCTCTTCCCCAGGGGAGACGGCACCAGCAATGCGGATGTCAAAATAGTGGCTGTCGATTTGCAGGCTATGGCCCCTCTGCCTGGAGTCATTCAAATCCAAGGGGACATCACCAAGGTAGGCGGTCCCCAAACCACACTCTGTCTGATCGGTTTTTCTCCCTCTGTTCTGCCAAGGGGCTCAGGTGGTCTCCTCCCCATCCTCCTCAGGGGGTCTGTGGTGGTCTCCTCCCCCATCATAGAGTGGGAAGGGACCTCCAGGGTCATCTAGTCCAACCCCCTGCACAAGGCAAGAAATTCACAAATACCTCCCCCCCACACACACACCCAGCGACCCCTGTCCCATGCCCAGAAGATCGTAAAAAACCCTCCAGGATCCCTGGCCGAACTGGCCCGGAGGACGATTGCTTCCTGACCCCAGAGTGGTGATCAGCATTTCCCTGGGCTTGCAGAGAAAGGGCCACAAGATCTAAGCACTGATGCAACCCTCCCTGCCCTCCCTCTCGTGGTCTGCCCAAGTTCACAGAACCTCACAATTCACAAACGAATCTATAGTCAAAGCACGCTAATTAAATGCAACAATAATTATATAGAAAGCTAAGTCAGTAATAATGCCAAACTCATATAATTGTATATCTATATATCTAATAGCCAAGTTGCCCCCTCCGTGTGGATATCTAAATCCATACACCAGGGGCACTTGGGGGGCAGGGAGATTTTCCTGCACATTTGGGGCAATCCCCAGATGTGCAGAAAAATCTGAAAAGTTTTTAAAACTATATGGGGGATATTTAAATCTCCCAAAAAGTAAAAAAAAAGTCCCCTTTGCATGCGCACTTACCACTGGCAGCAGCGGCGAAACCTTGGCGACTGGAGGCTGGGAGCCATGGCCGTTGCTGTGATGGAGGGGGAGAAGCCTGGCGGGCCCAGCGGCGGGGAGCCGCACAGGGCTTGCGGGTGGGTGTGGGGGGGGGGGGAGAAGCCTGGCGGGCAGGCAGGTGGCTGGGAGCTGTGCAGGGCTTGCTGCTGTTGCTGCTGTCAGTGGCGCCGGCGGGAGAAGCCTGGCGGAGCTCCTGCTGCTTCAGTGGCCGGCCGGCCAGGAGCTGCGGGGAATCCCCTCCCCCCGGTGAGAGTATCATGGGTCCCACTCCCACCTCTTGTAATTATATAATTGTAGAATTACAAGCATAATGAAGAGCAGCTATCCAAAAGTGGGTGGTAACAAACCCAAACTCACAATAAGTCACACAGCATAACTCCAAAGCAGCAGGCTTCCTTCATAAATAGAACAAGCACAACAAAGAAAAGAGTTTATATAAATATCACATGTCTTTGAGTTGAAGTCCAAACATCTATACATTGTGGCTTGCAGTAAATAAGATCCATTCCAAGTGGAAACGACGCAGTTCCAGATAATCAGTGTTTCAGATCTGTTCCTTCATCAGGTAAATCAGGTCAGTCTTCATTAACATCCAATGAATACACATGTATAAGCGAGCCCCCCGATCAGAATATTCCAATGAGGCACAGCTCCATATCTCTTGCAAGTCGGAATTGCCTCTGACAGCATTGCTGTCGGATGGCCATCTAGCCTATGTTTGAAAACCCCCAAAGAAGGAAAGCCCACCACCTCCCGAGGAAGCCTGTTTCACTGAGGAAGCGCTGTAAGTGTCAGGAAGTTCTTTCTAACGTTTAGCCGAAAACTCTTCTGATTTAATTTCCACCCGCTGGTTCTGGTCCGACCTTTTGGGGCAACACAAAACAACTCCGCACCATCCTCTATACGACAGGCCCTTCAAGTACTTGAAGATGGTTATGTGGTCAGCCAACCTCAAGTTTTGCCTCCATCCTTCCTCTTTGCCCAGGTCTCTACCGCCCAGGAGATCATTCGCCATTTTGAGGGGCAGCCAGCTGACCTGGTGGTGTGTGACGGAGCCCCTGACGGTAGGTGGGAGATGCTGCCACCAGTCCCATTCTGGGACTAGAGACCCCTGCTGGCCAATGTCAGCTTTGCAGGAATCAAGGGAAGTCGCCTTCAGTCATTTTTTTTCCTTTACTGTTGCAGTGACCGGGCTCCACGACATCGATGAGTACATTCAGGCCCAGCTGCTTCTCGCTGTGAGTATCGCATGAAGCTTCCTTCCCCCCAGGCCCGTAGCCAGGATTTTGTGGCTTGCGGGGCAAAAAAATTTTCTGGTGGGGCTGAAGTTCTCAGTGCAGAAAGAAAAGCCGTTTAGACCAACAGAAAGCTGTTGCCAGGCTAGATCTCTAAATTGCAAGCTGCCAGCCACTTTAGATGACAGTCCGCAGCTGCTGCAAGTTATTCTCTTCCTCCAGCCTAAGCAACAAGTCTGACCACAAGCCGGCAGGTGGGGGTGATGTCTTCTATAGTCAAGAAAGCCAACACTTAGGCAGCAAAACTGTCTTCAAGGAGACCAGTTTCTTGACACAGAGTTAGGAGGGAGCCTAGAGGTCACCTACTCCAACCCCCTTGCTCAGTGTGGGAATTAATCAACTACAGCACTCCACTCTGCTTAAAGGAGCGCGCGCCTTTTAAAAAAATGTTTCAGAATGGTTGAAAAAAGCATTTGCAGGAGAAATTCTGGTGGGGGCTGTGCCTTTAAGAAAGGGGGCAGAGCCCCCAATGGTCCCACTGTAGCCACCAGCCTGCTTATAGTGAATCAGACCCTCGGTCCATCAAGGTCAGTATTGTCTACTCAGGCTGGCAGCAGCTCTCTAGGGTCTCTGACTGAGGTCTTTCACATCACCTCTTCCCTGGTCCTTTTTTAACTGGAGATGTCGGGGGATCGAACCTGGGGCCTTCTGCATGCGAAGCAGAGGCTCTGCCACTGAACCAATGACCCTCCCCTAATAATGAACACACATGAAGCTGCCTTATACAAGGACAGGACGTTGGTCTGTCAAGGTCAGTCTTGTCTACCCGGACTGGCAGCAGTTCTCCAGGGTCTCCGCTAGAGGTGTTTCACATCACCTGCTGCCTGGTCCTTTAACCTGGAGATGCTGGGGATTGAAGCAAATGCAACAGGGGAAGCCCTTTCTCCAAATCTCCCTGTCTTTAATTTTCACAGTTTTCCCCTCCCCTTGTTTTTGTGGGGGTGGGGGAACAAGATCTGGCCTGATGAAGAGTTGTGGGGAATTGGAAAGATGTTTTGTGTCCTTTTGGGTGACCCTAATGAAAAGCTGGGGTGGCTCAAGTGGTTAAGATGCTGAACCTCCCCTTGTTTTTGTGGGGGTGGGGGAACAACATCTGGCCTGATGAAGAGTTGTGGGGAATCGGAAAGGTGTTTTGTGTCATTTTGGGTGACCCTAATGAAAAGCTGCGGTGGCTCAAGTGGTTAAGATGCTGAACTGCAGTAGTTCAGCAGTTCGAGACCCGGCTGCCGCATGACGGAGTGAGCTCCCGTCTCTAGTTCCAGCTCCTGCCAACCTAGCAGTTCGAAAGCAAGAAATTGCAAGTAGATCAATAGGTACCACTTTAGTGGGAAGCATTCCGTGTGCCTTGGTGTTTAGTCATGCCGGCCACATGACCACAGAAACGTCTTCGGACAGCGCTGGCTCTTCGGCTTTGAAACGGAGATGAGCACCGCAACCCTAGAGTTGGATTCGACTGGCTTTCAAGCAAGGGAACCTTTACCTTTTTAATGTTTGTTTCGGATTTTCCGTGAGGCGATATGGCTGGTCACAGCTTGCTTTCTGCTGGAGGAAATGTCTGTTCCCTAGCCTACTGCAGAAACGTTTGCTGTAGACAGGTCCGTATCGAGTCCGTTGCCTCTTCCACCATCCCCAGGCTCGATTTCTTTTTCCCTTCCTTCTCTTCCAGGCCCTGAACATCACCACCCATGTCTTAAAGAAAGGAGGCACTTTTGTAGCAAAGGTGAGCCCCGCAGGTAACCTGGGTGCAGGTAACAGGTTCAGTAGGCGCTCCTTAGCTGTAGCCAAGTCAGGGTGGTCGTGAGCATGACGCCTGGCCAAAAGGCTCCCCCTGTACTGGGTTTCTTGCTCCAGTTACCCCATCAGACTGGTCACCCTCTGCCCACTGCAGGAAGTGGAACGGGCACACCCAGTCCAGGGTAGGGGACACAAAACCCCAGGATATGTTCAGCTTCACTCAGACGTGGCCAGGAACCATCAGGAGCTAGGGCAGCAACCGGGTTACTTCAACCAGGGGTCCCCAAAACTTTTTTGAGCCTGTAGACACCTTTGGAATTCTGACACAGGGAGGCGGTGCTACCCTCAAAATGGCTGTCATAGGAGGCGGGGCCACCCTCAAAATGGCTGCCACAGGAGGCGGGGCCACCCACAAAATGGCTGCCACGGGAGGCGGAGCCACCCACTAAATGTCAGGGAGCCAGGTTATATACAACTCAAATAGTAACTCTTCAACATTTCGGGCAAAAGCTCTCTTTAATGGGATGCCTTTTATAACGTACCGTTTTTAAACGTTGTCTTGTATACATGCACAGCAATGCAGTGAAGATCTTTGTCCTGTGGCAGCAGCTGTCACTGAAGCAAATTTCTGAGAATCTGCGAAGCCGGCCAGAAGCCTTGCTGTGCAAGAGCCCCACCTGGCCCCCACCCACTTTCTGAAAAGGGTCGGTGGGCAAAGGTATCAGTGGGTACCACGGTGCCCCTGTGTGGAGAACGAGGCTCCCGCCATGCCCTGCCCCATCAGACCTTGCTGCGTGAGCGACCCCGAACGGGGTTTAGCGGAGCCACCAAAAAAAAAAAAGAAGAAGAAGCCTTGCTGTGCAAGAGCCCCACCTGGCCCCCACCCACTTTCTAAAAAGGGTCGGTGGGCAAAGGTATCAGTGGGTACCACGGTGCCCCTGTGTGCTACATTGGGGGCCCTGGTTTCGACGTTGCTCCAGGGAAGGTGAATATTCACCTTGAGAACTGCAACAGCCCTTTCTGACATCTCTAGCTCTGTCCTCGGTTCCTCTTCTGCTAGATAAGTTGAAGAGCCAACGTGGTGTAACTGTTAGAGCAGGGGTGTCAGACATCAGGCCCGGGTGCCGGAACCAGCCCATCCAGGGCTCTTATGTGGCCCGCGAGCAACTAGTGCAAGGGAGGGAACAGGAGGTTGCTTGGGGGGCGAGTGGGCGGAGCCACTCCGATTGTGGCTTCAGCATGGCGGGACATCCTTGTCTGCAACAGTCAAGCAGCATGGGAGCGTCTGCCCAGTGCTACACCGCTGGCTCTCCAGTCCACCCGTATGGGTTTCCCTTTGCACCCCCCTCCCAACCCATGGGGCACTGAGGTGAGGATTAGAGATGTAAAATTGCCGGAAGAGTGGAAAAAAACACTTCCCCCTCATTTTTTTCGGGGGAAAACGGAAAGTTTCGGAAAAATTGGAAAAAAAATGCTACATTAGCACTTCTTTTTTCTTTTCCAGATTGAAAATCATTCAGTTACTTTAGGAACATAAAATATGACTATGGACATTTTTACTTGGCATGAAATGATCACAACTAGCATATTAAAAATATAGTGTATCCAAACAATCAGGGCTATTCTTGCGCAGGAACGCA